ACGTAATGTCCCATAAAATTTCCCATAAGCCGTGTCTTATTTTAGTAAACAATGCACTCATTGTTTAGAATATTAAACAAATACAAAATTTACTGTATTTTTTACTAAATGCACAACTTTTATAAATCATTCACTACAGAATTCATTGATTTTTATTTAGTTAATAAAACTAAAAATTTGTATATAAAACTACAAATGTTATTATAAAGAATAATTTATTATAGTATTTGTTATAAATAAATAATTAATAATGAATAGGGATTTACACCATATTGAAATCATGATTTCAATGATTTATAAATAAATTAATTAATAGTTTTTATTTTCATTTCTACATGCAATATACAGTATTAACAGTTACAAAGCTTTGAGCTTAAGCCTAGAACTATAACTAAGATTAGTATAAAATTTAGAAAATATTTTTCTCGAAAATGAAAACTCTTAAATTAATACCTCAACAATTTTTTAATGAGTCTAAAACACATCAAATAATCGTTATAATATATCCCTAACTTAGAGATTTAATTCAAGTAATGATCACATTTTGCACTTAAATTATAAAGAGTAATAACTAATTAGCATAAATTCTACTCTAATTATTGAATCTTCATTGAAATTGTGATCAATAATTTAAACTAAACACCGGACAGACGTTCATTTTAAAGTCACGCCAACCTATATAAAATTATTAAGTGCATTATAATTTAAAAGTTATTATTATTATAACTAAACTTATTTCTATGCAATCGATGATCTTCTATTTATTTGTTTAATAAACATATGAATATCATATAATAACCATGCATTTTTAAATAATATTAAAATCTTAATGTTTCATAGACAATATGCTCAGAGTTTAATATAGTTTTTTCCAATAATGGATATAATACTGACAATAATATTGTGATAATAAAATGATTTAGTTAAATGATTGCTTAGAATGAACCTGAGGCTTATGACAATATTTGTTTCAATCAATATAGGCGTGACCTGACTGGACATTGCCCTACATTTATCTCATAAATAATTGTTATCTTTTTTTCCAAATTAATTATTCATAAATTAAAATGATTTCTGTTCATATTTTCATATTTTCAGAGCTTTAACTAATTAATATTACAACCAGTATACAAGTATCAGTATACAAAAAATATATACTAAAATACTAATTTTGCTATTTTTTAGTGCAAATAAATAAATAATTTAAATTTATTCAGTATTATTGGATTTGAATATAGTATATTTTTAACTAGTGTTTATTCTTAATAGTTTATTTTCCTATTTAAATAACAATAAATATATATTATTAGTAACAAACAATTTGTCAAGTATACTGGTAATATGTTTTATAAACTAAACATTATCAAATAAAAATACATATTTATTAGTAGAGACAAATTATTTTTGTAAAACTAATTTATATTTTAGTGATAAATATTAAAGTCAAACGAACTACTGTATATACTAATTTTTAAAACAATATGATATTTTTAAATAAGCAATGATTTGATTGCAAATATGTAAGAATTATATGGGAGTTGTGTTACTTATAAGGTGTCGGTAATGTATTTTACATTTTAACTTTATAATGTTGTACTGTTATTAGAGCTATTACAAAAATTGGTGAATAGTTCAATTAATGTATATTTTTATAAATTTTATGTTTAAATATCATAACAGTATATAAATAAAATAAAATTTGTATTTATAGTAAAGAATCAAAACAATAGCAATAATGAAGAGCCGGTTAATTTGATAAAAGAAGGCAAACACATACCTCTGCTGGGAGAATACCATCAGCTGGAGAACCAACTACAGTACAAGTAGCCATCCTATACTACACTAAGACACTATAGTGACTAATAATATACCGAAGTACACAAACAGAGATATCAACTATTACTAATTAACTTCAGGACAACTTATGTCAATAAGAATGACGAGGTATTAAACGTGAGACAACTTGACAACACTAATAATCACTTGTCTAATGAGCAGGTAGTGTCATGTTTGTCTCTATAGTTGATATACTAATTAACTTCAGGACAACTTATGTCAATAAGAATGACGAGGTATTAAACGTGAGACAACTTGACAACACTAATAATCACTTGTCTAATGAGCAGGTAGTGTCACATCCAGGCAAAATTGCCTTGAATTATTTAAGGGGATGGTTTCTAATCGATGTGGTGGCTGCCATTCCCTTCGATCTCCTACTTTTTGGTTCACAAAATGATGAGGTTTTTGCTAATTCTTATTATTTCAGAATATTCTTGTTTTTATTTATTATACATAATACCACATTTAAATGAATCTAAGTTTTGTATGAAAATGAATTCAATTATAGGCGCATTAAATATTTATGCATTAATTAGAGCTAATATAAGAAGATATACCTAAATATTACGTTATTATAAATTTAATTACAACTTTGATTCACATGAGAACTAAGATCTTAATTAATATTAAGTAAAAACTTAAGCAATAAATAATATATTTATTATAATCAAGTAATTAAGAAACTTCTTTTAACTTCTTAATGTATTTACACCAATATAACAACAAAACTACCAAATAAACGTTTATATCTGCTGTTGTGATTAACCAAATGACTTTTGCCGAGCTGAGAATGCTGACCAAGCACAGCGGTGAAAAATAGATAGATATTCAGAATATGGAGCCGCAGTACTCATACTATTAGTGGCAGCCTTTGCTCTCGTAAGCTATTTATTCATTCATTTATTCTTATTGTGTTTAAACTAATATATTATAATTAATATGATCACTACACAGGTAGCTCATTGGTTAGNAAATAGATAGATATTCAGAATATGGAGCCGCAGTACTCATACTATTAGTGGCAGCCTTTGCTCTCGTAAGCTATTTATTCATTCATTTATTCTTATTGTGTTTAAACTAATATATTATAATTAATATTATCACTACACAGGTAGCTCATTGGTTAGCTTGTATTTGGTATGTTTTAATGTTATAATCTTTAAATTATGAATTTTTAAAATAACTTTTTGTTTTTATGACAGGTATGCCATTGGAAATGCCGAAAGACCAGTATGACTTTAATTTATAGTTATCATTCACTTAATTGACTTCTATAAATTCTTATCTATTAGGTATTAGATTCAAAAATTGGTTGGTTAGATCACCTGGCTAATTCCACTTATCAATATTACAGTAACTTATAGATTATATTGATAGAAATTCAAGTTATTAATTAGATTTTCCAATATACAGACCCTGATGGTTCAGGAGGTCCTACAATAAAATCTCGTTACATCACAGCCTTATACTTCACATTCTCTTCCCTCACATCTGTTGGCTTTGGGTATGAATTCATTGGAATTAAAAATAGATAGATATTCAGAATATGGAGCCGCAGTACTCATACTATTAGTGGCAGCCTTTGCTCTCGTAAGCTATTTATTCATTCATTTATTCTTATTGTGTTTAAACTAATATATTATAATTAATATGATCACTACACAGGTAGCTCATTGGTTAGCTTGTATTTGGTATGTTTTAATGTTATAATCTTTAAATTATGAATTTTTTAATAACTTTTTCTTTTTATGACAGGTATGCCATTGGAAATGCCGAAAGACCAGTATGACTTTAATTTATAGTTATAATTCACTCAATTGACTTTTATAAATTCTTATCTATTAGGTATTAGATTCAAAAATTGGTTGGTTAGATCACCTGGCTAATTCCACTTTTCAATATTACAGTAACTTATAGATTATATTGATAGAAATTCAAGTTATTAACTACTAAAAGGTTATATGTCTGGGACTACCAAGTCCTCCAGGATGTTATTTTAGAGCAATGTAGTGTCGGAATATGAAGTGTAAGAGAAGGGAGTGTAGACAACCGAAACCCATACTTAAGTAACCTTAATAAGTTTTGTCAAAACATTAATTAATTTTTTTATTCAATAGCAATGTCTCGCCGACGACTAACACAGAAAAGATCTTTTGTATACTCGTTATGCTTACCGGATGTAAGTCTTAAAATACATTTGATATGGTGTTGAAATGGATTTATAAATAATTGAATAAATCTATAAAAGCCTTGATGTATGCGTCAATCTTTGGAAATGTATCGGCAATTATACAGCGCCTGTACTCTGGAACGGCTCGCTATCACACTCAGCTATTAAGGGTCAGAGAATTCATTCGTTTCCATCAAATACCGGACCCATTGAGACAACGACTAGAGGAGTACTTCCAACACGCCTGGGCCTACTCCAATGGCATTGATATGAACATGGTACAAATTGAATTGTGTTTGCTTAAAGTATGATTCTCTTAAATAATTGTAATTTCAGGTTCTCAAAGGGTTCCCCGAATGTCTTCAGGCAGACATATGTCTTCATTTGAATAGAAATCTGTTAGAAAACTGTTCCGCTTTTAAAGGTTTGACGCGAAATGATATAAATATATGAAATTAAAACAAAAATTCTATAAATTGTCGAAATTCTCTAAACAACAGATGCTTCTCAGGGATGCTTAAGAGCGCTCTCAATGAAAGTCAGTTCAAAATATTTACTTTGAGTTGAATTAAAATAAATAAATGAAAACATTAATGTATTTGTTTGGATAGTTTAAGACAACTCATGCGCCACCGGGAGATACTCTGGTTCATAGGGGGGACGTATTGGTGGCCTTATATTTCATAGCCCGGGGCACTATTGAGATTCTTAATGGTGATAATGTGGTCGCAATTCTGGGTGTGTTGTCGCATTGAAAGCTTAATGTTATAATATATTGAATTACATATGAACTATGAATGAAACTGAATGAAACATATTAACTAGGTAAAGATGATATATTTGGTGAGAATCCATTGGAAAACACAACGATTGGCAAATCGGCGGCCAATGTGCGAGCGCTGACATACTGTGATCTCCATAAGATTAGTCGAATCGATTTGCTTCATGTGTTTGAAATGTATCCCGAATTCATCGCATCGTTCAATAGTAATCTAGTCATCACTTATAACCTCAGAGATGAGAACCAACAGGGATTGCCTGATCTCAGTGTTAAGAAGTCGACTAAAAATAAATTTCAGGACTGCTTCTCATCGCCGCCTAATGAGGAGGTCTCCGAAGAAGGTATGATATATAGTATGTCTTAAGTATTAAAAAGTGTTTAAAACATGTAATAATAGTGTCGGCCGTCACAGAAGACAATAGAGTGGGTCAGACATATGTGGGACAGGGATTGGCATTCAGTTCTTTCGATGGCGATGATGATGACGACGACTGCGCCCGACTTTACTATAAGAATGTGAAGGAAGACAAATCAAAGCGTAGATATTCAGGGACTGGTATTCTTGAGTTCTCGCCACAAAAAGCGGGTCTGGATGTGACGCCAGCCAACTATGAGTTCTCAACCAAACCCGTGAGAGCCAGAAGTGAAACTTTGAATTCACTGACGGGTAATACAATAGAAAAAAGTTTTAATGCATTCGTGTTTCAAATTCACAACACGTTTCCCTTTACTCCCACTCAAGGAATGGTCGATCAGTTAAAGAGAAGTTTTACGGATTTAACATTTGGTAATATATTTCTAATAATAGCTTTATATACCTGTATATGAATTAATATCTATTTGATGGTCAGGTGCTCTCTCCAGTATATCTCCAAAACAACAGAAAACTTCAGTATCGCACGAAAGGCTTCGTAAAAACTTTAGAAATCCATTAAAACATCAGAATTCTAGTCAAAACCAAGACTCGTTGAGTGCCATAAATACTAGTGTATCGGAAACGGCTTCTCCTAATAATATAAACAATAAAATGGAGTCAATTCTGGAATTAGTCAGGGAATCAGCAAATCTCGACAATCACTCAAATATTACTTTAATTAATGACACCATTGATCGCAAAATCGATATCCTTTCGAAGTGAGCCAACATTTTATTCATTTCAACACATTTACAATAATATCAATAATTCATTGTTTTTAGAATATTTATTAATATTGAATATTATTTATATAATTATAATTTTATAGGTTTACCATAATATTTATATAATATAGGGTGCATCACCCTAGTATCAGTATATTAGCCTATTAGTTAGTTATGCCTCATGATACAATTAAAATCTAGTATTTTATTTCATTTTTTAATACCCCACAATAAATTCATATTAGGCATCAATATCATCACAATATATCAAAACTAGTTAGAATAATTTTTTACTATTATTTTCTAATCAAAAATATTATTTTGTAAATTTGTTCATATAAATGCTTTGTATCATATTAATTATTTTTTAAAGTGCTGTAATATAGCAGCTATATTACAATGTTACTACTTATGATTTTATATGGGAAAAATTTAGTGTAGTGCTATTATAGAGTATTTTAAATATGGTTAAAGTATTTTCTCATTCTTACAGTTAGTAAGACTTTTCTGTTGTTTCATAATATTCTTGATAATCGTAATTATATATATAATAATATAATTATATGATTGACAGACGGATTGACGAGTTTGAAGAGAAAATGACAAATACTTTACAAGAAGTAATCGATTGTCTGAAATCAAGTCCATCAAGTGTTAGACGCACGGATCAAATAACTCTGAATTCTTGTGATCAATATTCGTGTCTATGCTGTGATAAGACAAGTAAAAACTCAATGCAAGTGATAGACACTCAGAATTATGCGCCGCCTTTGAGTCGAACCCAAAGTCTTCAGTCATCGGTGTTTCCATTATCTGTGAATAGGATTGCGTTAAGAAATACCAAAAGCCTTATGGAAACCATGTATGAGATGTCCGGTCCCAACATCATTGTCGACACACACGCCGACACTTTAGAAGATTCTCTCGATTTTGATAACACATTAGAGTTTGTGTCGAGTCTTGAGAACACACTCGACGTCGACAGAGACCACAAACACACCGATCGTCAGGTGATTGACAAGACATACCCACAACAGAATCAACTCAATCGTGCTCTTAGTCTTCAAAGTTGTATTCCTCTGACTAAACCAACCACTCATTCAGAAAGTAAGCGCTGCTCTCAACCCCTGCAACACAACCCAACGGGCGATTCAATCGCTTTGCAAACTCTGTATAAATCTTCTCCTAATCTGAAGCAAAGCGATGGACAGGACTATGAAAGACAGCGCTCTTCTCTCAGTGATAGCAATATCGTTTGGATGCAATCGTAACCAATACTTCATTCATACCATGAATGCCATCAGTCATTCATATATCACACATTCAACTAACACTGTTAGGTTGTGTCACGACATGTGTGCACTTAATATAATAAGCAATGATATGATTTTGTGCTCTTAATTAGCCCTTCATTTATACAGAATATTCATAATTATAGAGAGGAATTGGAATTTTTCTCAACTTTGATGAACTTTTATAGAAGTTGTAAAATGACCTTGTCGAATATAATCGAATAGACCTTTAATTTTATAGATTCCGTGCAATAATGTGTTGAAAATTATTCCAATTCTTGGTATAAATTGTTTAACTTTTTGATCAAATATCCGATTATTAGATATTTATAATCTAATTATAAGTGCCTATAAATAAATAAATAATTTTCAATTAATTACAAATAATAAGTTTCTTAAAATAATGACTGACCCTAAATCAACAAGACAAATTCATCCTTAATATGCATTACAGGGTATTTTAAAGGGTATTCGGCACAGAATAAAATCATTTGTTACGTGAGTAACAAATCTTATAATTTGTTTATGTTTTAAATGACATAAAAAATGATTTACGTGTTGAAAATATTTAAATTCACTACAGAATTCATTGATTTTTATTTAGTTAATAAAACTAAAAATTTGTATATAAAACTACAAATGTTATTATAAAGAATAATTGATTATAGTATTTGTTATAAATAAATTATTAATAATGAATAGGGATTTACACCATATTGAAATCACGATTTCAATTATTTATAAATAAATAAATTAATAGTTTTTATTTTCATTTCTACATGCAATATACAGTATTAACAGTTACAAAGCTTTGAGCTTAAGCCTAGAACTATAACTAATATTAGTATAAAATTTAGAAAATATTTTTCTCGAAAATGAAAACTCTTAAATTAATACCTCAACAATTTTTTAATGAGTCTAAAACACATAAAATAATCGTTATAATATATCCCTAACTTAAAGATTTAATTCAAGTAATGATCACATTTTGCACTTAAAATATAAAGAGTAGTAACTAATTGGCATAAATTCTACTCTAATTATTGAATCTTCATTGAAATTGTGATCAATAATTTAAACTAAACACCGGACAGACGTTCATTTTAAAGTCACGCCAACCTATATAAAATTATTAAGTGCATTATGATTTAAAAGTTATTATTATTATAACTAAACTTATTTCTATGCAATCGATGATCTTCTATTTATTTGTTTAATAAACATATGAATATCATATAATAACCATGCATTTTTAAATAATATTAAAATCTTAAATTCATAGCTTGTTTGGAGTTTTTCCATATTTTACAGATTTCTGATGTGATAATTATTATTTAAAAATTTTATTCATTTATTATGGCATCGATTGTAAAAATACCGGTTACTACAAAGTTAATAAATATATATTAAAATAAAACTAAATTAACTTGTATTCTCTGGAATTGTTATAACTGATTTTGTTAAAATAAATTTATTAATAAATTACTTATACATTAATATTTCATAGTACAACAAATAACAAATTAAGTTTTTAATGGATAAGTGAATCTATAATTTCATTTTAAGTTCTTTGTTTGACAAAAGCATTTTCACTCTTCGATGTAATCGCTATTTAAAAAGTATTTAATTATTGATATATAAAAATCAATTGTCATTTTAGTGGTTGTAATCATACCTTCCAGTTATCAATGGCTAGCTTACGCTTCTTGGCTTTAGAAGTGGACATCTTCTTGATGACCATCAGTGCAGTCAATGGTTTTTCTAACTCTGTCTTCGGAGCAATAGTCAGTGTGTATTGACTGAGAAATAGTTTGGATTCTTTGAGTGACAGCGCTTTCTCCAGTTCCAGCAGAATCTTCGCCCATTGCATCGTCCACTCCCTCTCAGACTCCGAGATGACCAGTGCATAGGTGTTACCCATCATTGCGATCAACATATTTAGCAATAGTATTGGCATTAATATCATGAATAACACGAAAAACATTTGAGTCAACCAATGGTAATATGAATTTCGAATTTCTTCGTACTGTAAATATATATTAAACCAATTTATCAGTAAANTCAACATATTTAGCAATAGTATTGGCATTAATATCATGAATAACACGAAAAACATTTGAGTCAACCAATGGTAATATGAATTTCGAATTTCTTCGTACTGTAAATATATATTAAACCAATTTATCAGGATCATTTATGTTTTTATTTATTTATTATCAGGATCATAAATAAAGAGAATATTTGATTAAGTTATATAATATGATAATTCCTCAAAAATAAAATATAATAATAATTTATCATTTGTTGTTTAAATATTGATTTAATGTAAACACAAATTCCTGTGAGAAATAATAGCATTTCTATTTAACCAAAAAATGATAAGCAATACCTCGTGTGCACCTAATGTCATGCGAAACAGTTCCATCCATGAGCTATGATAATGACTGTGACTTGATGATCTCCAATGCTTTATCACATCAACTTGTCCAGGTTGTTTATCAACATATTTAGCAATAGTATTGGCATTAATATCATGAATAACACGAAAAACATTTGAGTCAACCAATGGTAATATGAATTTCGAATTTCTTCGTACTGTAAATATATATTAAACCAATTTATCAGTAAAATTCAATCAGTTAAGTTTGGGTTTTCAAAATTACTTTAAAAATTATGTTATTTTTATTTATTATCAGGATCATAAATAAAGAGGATATTTGATTAAGTTATATAATATGATAATTCCTCGAAAATAAAATATAATAATAATTTATCATTTGTTGTTTAAATATTGATTTAATGTAAACACAAATTCCTGTGAGAAATAATAGCAATTGTATTTAACCAAAAAAAATGATAAGCAATACCTCGTGTGCACCTAATGTCATGCGAAACAGTTCCATCCATGAGCTATGATAATGACTGTGACTTGATGATCTCCAATGCTTTATCACATCAACTTGTCCAGGTTGTTTTAGGAGGAAGAAAAATGCTGTAAGAGTGTGAAAATATGCAAATAACCCAGGGTAATTAGTAATAAAAGTGACTGTACTGTATACCTTGTGAGAATCCGTAGAGAAAGACCAAATAAATAATACTAAACTGTCGCATGTCTTCCATTATCATAAACCTAACCATTGCTACAAAAGGACCCGTTATTCGAACCGCTCTATTGTTAGGAATTAGTAATTTAAGACCAAAAATGAATGAATAAATGAATGAAAGTGCAGATATAAGAGTGAGTGAGTGAGTGAGTGAGTGAGTGAGTGAGTGACATGTTGCGGCTACCCTTTAAATGTTGTCGATTCTATGAAGTGAGAGAGAGAGAGAGAGAGAGAGAGAGAGAGAGCATACGCAGCAAAGAACATTAAGATGAACCAGGCTGAGGGCAGTGCCAATATTAATAGTACTTCTTCGAGGTATGAACTCTCAAATAATCGACAGAAGATACAGAAAACAATGAGTATATTTGATGACAGAAATATGATTTGAGGCAGACTTGAATTCTGTACAATTATGAAATTAATTTTTTAAAGTTTAATTCAAGTTATCTTTCAAATTGTTTATATTTATAATTTTACCAGATTTTTTATTATATTTAATTTTTTCTTATTTAAAAATCCCTTGATAATTGTAAATATATATCGGCCACAACTAACAATTGATATGATTTCAGCAACTATTCTAACCTATTATATAAAATCATTTTAGAAATAATTTCTTTAAATATAGTAATGCACTGCAATACAGACCACTTTTTGGACATTTGATTCACAAATTGGTAAATCTTGTTTCGATGGACGCAAATATATAGCAATACTTATAATTAATAAGTGGAATAATGTTTGAAAAATTCTTCTCAGAAATAATCGCTAGAAATGAAAAATATTAAAAATAAATCATCAATATAACATATCAATTGTTGAATTACGTGTCCAAATGTTTTCCACTTTTCTTCTAAGAGTTTTTGAATGACTCCCCCCTTCAACATATCCAAGTGTTCACTATTATTGCCCTCAAGAATAATATTAAGAGCAGATCGACCCTCTGATTATAAGTGATAATAAATTTATTAATATCTCGCCAATAATATATTGGTTAGATTTATGCAGAAAACCTGTTTCCGAACTTTCAGTTTGCATAGAATCGACAACATTTAAAGGGTAGCCGCAACATGTCACTATGTTATACGTCCAGAATTCCTATATGTTCATTTTTAATAAATCATTTTATACTCAAGCTATTTGAATATCCGATATCATATTGATATCAACTTAAATATGTCAACAAATTAAGTGTAAAGTAAAGAAATACAGTATATACCTGGCAACTTAGTTCAATAATTTCCCTAAATATGACAGCTTTACCCAAAACACAGGCTAAAGCTAAAGGCGTTAATCCAAAGTTATTTGTCATATCATTAACAGCAGGTCTTTCAGAGTGTTTGAGTGCAAAACCAAATATGTTCTGTAATTCAACATTTAATGTAATCAAATAATGGACATGTCATGCATATAATACCAATTTTTCTCGGGCCACAATTACATGTAAAACCATATTTCCATAGGAGTCCACTAAGTTAGGGTCGGCTCCATAACTAATTAATGTGTTATAAATTCTTTTATTATCAATACTTGCAGCCCATGACAGCGGATATTCCCCAAAATATTGAGTCTCTAATCAGACATTAATTTAAATAACAATTTAAACAATTAATTTCTAAATCATATAATAAAATGAATATCAAACCATTAAAAGAGGGCATCTTTTTAGTGATATTACATTGTTTCGGTACAAAGAAATCTCCGACAGCTCTCTGATGAACATTTGCTTTGCATTCAAGTAGTAAATCAACTAAACTTTCGTTTCGATAGATTATTGCTAAATGAAGACTAGATACACCTGAAACACGTTCACAATTGCAAATATTATTAATTTATTCATTGCTAATTACCAACACATTTCCAACAAATAATTTACTAAAATAATTCTTTTCAGAATTTGAAATTAGTTTATCAAATAAAATGAGTATATTAATTTTCGACATTACCAAAATACTCCATTTCTTCAAAGATATCATTAGAGAGATGTGGATATAATAAAAGTATTTGTTTGGTTATTAAAGAATGCATTTTAGTGTTATTAATGATAAGAATATGTAGCAGTGATTCCCCATATAATCCCCGTAAATGCAATTTCCAACAAACTTTTCTTGTAATTTGCTGTAATTGTAAATAAATCGTAAGAATTTGCAAAGAATATGTCTAATTAATATTAAAAGGCATGTCTCACATCAATTTCATGTAAATCGTTATTGTCAGAGATATTACACAAAATATGAGATGACTTTGAAATGTCAAACTCTTTTCCCAAACCGTTTTGATACATATTATTCTTGAATTCTTTACTCTTGAGGACATCAATGAGGGCCTGTTGTCCTTCTTTGGCCAATATATCCAACAGAAGTCCTTTGCCTTCATAATTGGCTAAAGAATATACAAATAAAGTGTTTGGGAAAGAGTTCTCAGTGTCTGAAACTTTATTCAACACGAATGGCATTATTAATAATTAATATTTGGTTTAAACAACAATTTAGAGAACCGTTTCAGAAGTGAAGTACGAATACAAGAATAATTAACGTAAATATTTATCTCAAAACATATTTTATTTAATTATTAAGTCTTTTAACACAAATATAACACTTCTGTGGATGACATTGAATAACACCTGCCGTTGCCATAGATTCTGCAGTAAAATTATTATTGATTTGTTTTAACCCAGAATTCAATCGACAAAATTGGCTGAAACTTCAATAATAAAAGCAAATTCCGGTTATTTATTATATAAAAATTATATCATTTTATTGGTAAAGGATATCATTAATTTAGACTTAATTTACAAAATTATTCACATTTCACAACTGATTACATTTTGAATTAGCTTTAAATATAATTATATATAAATTGTCAGTAAAATTGATTGTATTGTATGAATGGATACTGAAATCAAACTCTTTACATAGAAAATACAGTATAAGACTAATGGAAATGAAAATATGATATATATTTAAACGTTAAAACAGAGCCATAAAGGCGCTCAGACCACCAATTTCTGTGGAGTTGGCACTCGAGTTGGTGGTAGTGTTGCGTTCACTCGAATTACTCGTCGTGTAAACAGTCGATGGAATCGATTGAATCACTACTCGAGCAGAAGACGTCGTGTTATTTGTATTGAGTCTCTGGTGTTCAACAATACGGTCCACAACTGATTGGTCGACCGAATCGTAAGTAACGTTCGGAACCGATGATTGTATGACAACTCTGGTCGGAGATACAGTTACCTCTCCCGAAGAATATTCATAGATAAGAGTGGACGTAGCCGTACATAACTCCTGTTCAGACAGTTGTGACTGAGAGATCTGTATCTCTTGAGGTGAGCCAACGGCTGTCACTTGCGATTGAGAGGCTATAGAGTTGTCATCAATGGATTCGCTTATATAACTGAACTGTTGAGCCGTCTGTCGGCGCGGCTTTCGTGGCTTATATAGAGGCTTATGTTCGGTCTGTTCGCCGGAGTGGTGTTTCAGGACGTGTTCCTTAAGTTTGTCTCTCCGAGTGCTGCCGTAATCGCATTGTTGGCATTTGAAAGGCTTCTCCTCGAGATGTATGCGCTCGTGTCTAATGAGATGACTTTTCTCAATGAAAGCTCTGCCACACGTCGAACAGATGTGCGAACGGATAGACAGATGACTTCTGGTGTGGGCCGCCAACTGAGACCTACGCGGCGATGAATACGTGCAGCCCATCTGATCGCAATGAAACACATTCCCAGTATGGATGCGCTTATGGGACAAGAGGTGCGACTGATATTTGGTTGTGAAGCCACAGCTGTCGCACAGATAAGGTCTGTCCTCCCTATGAGTCGCCAAATGCTGGTCTAAAGTGTTCTTCATAGCAAAGGCTCGTCCGCAGTGATGACACGCGTAGGGCTTCTCTCCCGTATGTATTCTGTTGTGAACAATGAGATTGCCTTTAGTTCTGGACTTGAATGGACACAACTCGCAGTGGTAGGGCCTCTCATCCGTGTGTCTCATTTTGTGCGACAGAATAAACTGAATTCTATCGCAACTGTATTCACAGTCCTCGCATTTATAGGGCGGACCATCGAAGTGGCCTTTCATGTGCTTATAGTACTCGCGATTCCATTTGCAAACATATGAACACATTTTGCAGATATAAGTCGTGTCTTCTTCGTGCACACGAGACAAGTGCTGCTCGAGTCGAGTGGCGCTGTGGCCGATGTATATACAGTGCGGACACTTCACGCCGTCCTTCCAATGAGCCAATGATAAGGACGACGGACTCTTCGCACCAGACTTTGTTCGTCTTCGAGGAGACAAATCGCAGTCTTCGCTCACGTCTTCCATATTAGAGGAATCGTTTCCTTCGCTCTTCATTTCCTGGTCCTCTTCAACCCCTTCTTCCGCATTAGAATCCTCTTCAATGTCTTTGTCAACAGATTTCTTTCGTTTATTCTTATTATTCGTCACTTTCTTGTTCTCATTATCACTACAATTGGTCTTCTTTTTGGATGGAGAAGAGTATACAAACCATTCGTTTTTCGAGTATTTCTGTCCGACATTTCTTTTACGAGTTCTCGACACCGAGTCTTCCTTTCCAATCGACTCAATATTCTCTCGTTTTCTACCACTCATTGCTTTTCTCTTGTTTTCAGTTATCTCTTCTAAAAGTTTACAAACAATTAAAATATATTTTAGACTAATTTTAATGTAATGTCATATGTAAATCAATCAAATTTATAGAATACCGGTACATAAATATTACTTTTATATTATTTTAAAATATAAACGATGCCAAAACCAGAAAGTATAAAATTCTTATCTCTGTAGTGAAAATAGTCTATCTATTAGTGGTGTTTACCCTGAAACTAGCAAACTTTAAGTATCTATGAAATGCATCATTCCTTACAGCGCTCTACAGTGCATGCATTGAACCATTTTTATGTATAAAAGTGAAAGTGCTTAACAAAGTCAATCAATTAAGGCATTGATAATACATAATACCGTAATTGCATTCATATTGACAAATGTATTTAAAACATACTCTTTGATCGTTTGGTCGTTTCATGTCTTTGGTTCTGAGTCTTTGTTCTGCTTTTGGTGTTGAGTTCAGAATCCATGGGTTCGACAATAACAGGGCTATTGGGGAGAAGGAGGTCCTGTTGCTCGACATCTGGCAAAACGAGTTCGTCGTCGTCCTCTGGAAGCGATCGACGCTTTTTGGCAAACAATTTACTCAACTCTTTATAAGAGTCTATATATCTGTCGATATTTATATTGTTTTGTTGCAAAGACTTGAGAGCGAAGTAAAGGCAGAGATTGCTCTCACGGTAGAGGACTTCGGTGTCGATGTGATCGTAGATGAACTCCAGTTTCATTTTAGGCCATTCAATGAGCGCCAAGAAGTCACTCCACTCTGTGCTGCGTCTGTCCACGTCTTTCCTCACCCAACAGATCAAGTAAGTCAAGAGCTGTGACGCCGGAAGGTTCTTGAATCCAATGGTCTCGTCCTTAATAATAGTGTCCAACTTCTTAGCCGTCATTTCACTCATAAACGGCTGTTCAATCACTTCAACCAAGTTCTCGGATATGAATTCATTGCACGTTTGGATCAAAGTCTCTAAACTGTACTTTTGGGCCAAATCTCGGACAGCAATACAGTTGTCGACCGAAAGGTAGTGTTCGAGGAATTGATTGCAATATGTGTTCACTTTAGTCATCAGGAAGTAATTACTCAGTTTCAGCAATTCGTTCACATTATGCCAATCGATGGTAATGTTTCCCGAATACATATAATCCAGAAGCGTCTCCAACACGTCCACGTCATGGCAGCTGATGTTGATCTGCTCTTTGGTCACGCGGTGTGTCTTGAGGACGGACTCGAAGTACTGACTACAGGCGGCCAATACGCTTCTGTGGGCCGGGAACCGCTTCTCCACCGATTGCGGTCCTGATGTCACGTGAAGCACGATATCGCAGAAGCGGCCGTCACTTCGCTGACCCCTCAGCATCTCGAGGATCCCATTGCCCGACGGGTTCTCATCGAAATGCATCGAATTGTCCGCCAATACCGACGACAACACCATCGCTGAGATAATCGTCACTTTCGACCAATTCTTTGATAATTACTATAAAGTCCTCTGAAATGGGTTTTCATGTAATTATGAAAACTTCTCCACAAATGCTACGATCACTGCATCACGTGTTGACGGCATCCACGCAAACACGTGACCGCATCCGATGCCACCCGAGTGCACACGAATGGCCACTAAATCAGTGCCACTAATGAGCCGTAAATGTAATTAAACGCGATTTTCATAAACAAAAACACATGAAAACATGAAAACAATAGGATTTGTTGGCAAATGTCTACAGAGTGTAGCGAAAGACTGTACCCATTGGTGGGTTGTGTGGTGTGGGCGCGTGCGCTGTAATGCATGCATTGCTGTAGAAGTAGTGTTCAGTCATTAAGTATTGACTTTCGGATCGATATCTCGCTCTCACTGTCAGAGACTTTGTGATGGGAACTGAAGACAAAATGATGGCCACAATGACCACAACCGCCATTTGGCCACTCATTGTCTTAGTGGTGTCACTGGTGACGACGGCATCAGCGCAGGTGTCCATAGATCCGTACGAAGTGCGTAACCTTGCGCTCCGGTTCGGGAAAGACATCTACGAGGGGTCGGCGGAGTCGACGTGTGTCCGCAAAATCACGTCAAACTTCGAGGACATGAAGGCGCGAGTGGTTTGGTTTGACTCGAATAAGATGATGGAAGACATGAGGAATGATGTGATGAATACGTTGAACTGGAAGAAGCACGCCATCGAGCGCATCGCCAATGAGTCCCAACGTCTGGCCGCTAACCACACTTTCGGTGAGTTTGTCACCACTTGTCTCACCACTCATTATGCGCTCAACGTTTGACATACTCTCAGTGAACAAGAACCTGGACATGGATTACCTGAATATGAAGCGCCTGTACGACAATCGCGAGGGAGAGACGCCGACCAACCATAACGACGATGGGGTCGAGTGGAAGACTATTGAACTCAGTCCTCACCCCAACTTCGAGGGCGCGAACGTCAACCTCGAGAAGAGTGCGGTTCACGTGCCCATCAATGTCTACGAGAGGGCCGCAGACATTGTCAATGACATTAAGTGGTCGGAAGCGTTGACTCCATTCTTCAAGAACAACCTGATGTTCGATCCCGGCCTCAGTTGGCAGTTCTTCGGCTCCAGTCGAGGCTTCCTTAGACTATATCCAGGTATGCCTTCCCATCCAAATGATTGTATGCATTGCCCTATTATCCATTTGTACCATTTTTAAACGATTCTGTGCTAAATTCTTAACAGAATATTCTGTGCCTTAAGTCTATTGCGAAACAGTCTGACAACCAATTGTAGAACTATTGGACTCAAAATAGACTCCAATTTTATTTCTATCTGTATTTTTGGTTTATTCAAAATTATATCTCTTTCTAATCATAAATTCTTGGATCCAGAATCAATTATTCTTGACTTAACGAATGTGTTTATATATACCGGAAGTAACATTGAATATCTTTTGCCATATCTTTGCATTGGTTTCCATTCTTCAGCGACTGAATGGAAGAACGAAATAGATTTCCTTCAGTTGGAAACGCCTCCTCCAGATCTGTACGACTGTCGGATGCGACCCTGGTATGCATCACATGGTCTCCATATGTCGAGCATTGGACTAAATGTGAATTGTGTGCCCGCATGCCCTCCCTGTGCCCCTGACCCCTGACCCACAGGTACATTCAAGGCGCCGCATCTCCCAAAGATGTAGTGATTCTTCTGGACAGCAGTGGTTCGATGACAGGACTGCGGAACACAATCGCAAAGAACGTGATCTCAACCATTTTGGACACACTTACTGATGACGATTATGTGGCGGTCATGAAGTTCTCAGATCACGTGGAGTTCATAAACAAATGCTTCGATAGTCTGGTTCTCGCGAACGAGAAGAATATCCGCCAAATCAAGGAAGACGTGGACAAAGTGAGGCCCACAGAAGTGGCCAATTTCACGGCCGCACTCATACACGCCTTCGATCTCCTCCAAGTGGTCAGTCATTCACTCATTCATTCACTACCAGTGCTTATTACCAACACTTGTCTCTTATTTGAATCTAATGCCTAATCCGTGAAACTTATTCCCAAATTATGTTTCATTCATTCCTCAACTATCACTCAACTGTTCACTATTTAATACTGTACTACAGTTCTGTGTACAGACTGTACAGTATTTTCCAAACTATTTTTGCAATAACTTAAATCATACTTCACTGCAATGCTAATATAACGATATGATACCATAAATGTACATACACTGTATGTCATACAGTATTACCCTATTTGTTAAACCTTTTATACTGTACAGTACAACTTAATAATTAATATTTTGGTGTAAGATAGTAATGAATGAGTTAGCTATTACCGATAATATTGACTATAAGGTGCCCAAAAATGATTTGAATCACTTTATTATGCAGTATTGAGTACTTCCTACAGTTTAAATTACATAACGCTAAATTAAATTAACTATACAATAGTTTATTTTTACTGTACTTATATTATTAAATTAACTTTTAGAGACATTTTTAGAATAACTTGATAGTTTATTGTGAACAACGATATAATGTATAGATATTATTGTTAAAGCATTCAAAATATGATATAGAATGGTCACAAGGATTATTTGTGAAATGCAATTTACAAAATTGTGCACTCATTTATGCTTTAATACCGGACACTATTTATATGCACTGAAAATGTACTGTCATTGACGTTATCAGTGTTTGTCAGTCATAGCCATTTGAAACTACCATTTATATAACTTATGCTACCATGAAAACTTGGTCCATTTTAGGATACTTGTCATTAGTTTTATAGTTAAAATATGTCATGAATTTTTATACAGTATTTATATGCCTTTTGTGAAACTAAGAATAGATTTAATTATGGGATCATTAATTGGAGGAATATTTATTAATAATATTGCGATTGGAATACTGTATGACTAATTGATTACATTAACTAATGATCATGGAAAAGCTATTGATTAAACAGTATACTGTATGAGAAATGGATTTTTAAACCCACTTTTTACAAAAATTATCATATAGCATATGAATATCTAAATGCAATGATTCACACATTAATTGTACTGTATAGAAATGATGTAATTTTTATATTCGTGTCAATTAATGGAAAAGGCTACTATAAATGTCCAAGATTCATATACAGCAATTTTAAGCTACATTTTATGATCTCTTTCCATGAAAGGGTTCCCATTTTATGGAAGTAATCCCTCAAAACCTATCAACACATTTAGATAATGAGTTTTAGGACACCCTTTGAATATTTGAATTAAACATTTGAATAGAAATGATAGGATTGTGAACATTACAGGTGCACGCATCGAAAGGGGGCTGTCAGTGTAACCAAGCAATTATGCTGATCACTGATGGAGCACCCGAGACATTTGAAGATGTCTTTCGTACGTACAACTGGCCTAACATACCGGTCAGGGTTTTCACATATCTTATTGGCCGTGAGGTCACTGATAGTCAAGAAGTATATTGGATGGCCTGTCATAATAGGGGTGAGTTGTTTGATAGCATATATTCACCAGTGAAATAAATGTGAAAATATGTGTATTTGGTTCAGGGTATTACACACATGTGTCCAATTTGGCAGAAGTGCGGGAACAGGTCCAGCAATACATACCTGTCATGAGTCGGCCGATAGTGCTGTCCGGGGAACGAGTGTTTGCGTGGACTCCAGTCTACGCTCACGTTTCCGTGAGTGATGTTTGTGTTTATGATTTGATTGAATCGCTTATAATGTCTAATAAAAACATTTTCATATTCATAACCAATAATTGATAAAATTTTGTTTTGCGCACAATTTGTAATGGGTTTTGAAACTTAAAGGAAGTGCCTCTAAGTGACTGGGTTTGGGAGGAAAGAGGTCGGTATCACATCATATCTATATAAATATCATACACTGTGTTATACCAGAGATTCTGTAAGGGTTTTGTATTCTTGTTTTAAATGCAATCACTAATAGAAAAGGAAATTAAGACTAAAATTTTGCAACAACAACGCAAACGTACTGTCGTTAGTGATAGTCAGGTAAAGGATAATTTGGCCGAAAATGAGCGCAATGACAATGACGCTGATAATAACGAGGCCAGTGGCTCCATATCTGCTTCAATTGTAAGCGCCGACACCGATAGACTAACTAACACTGAGCCCGAGTATCCTAAAAAAAATCAAAAACCTAAGAAAGTTAGTATTCGTGCTAAACATCTATAGAATTGATTTTTTAAATTCTTTGGTTTTTACAATTTAAAGATTTTTGTTTGATTTGTCGTTTGCATGGTTTTGCGTTTAATGTTTTGGCTTTGATTTAACATTTTTCCATTTGTGTCATTCAGTTATTGTACGTATAATTTGATTATATTTTGTTTAAAGTTTTATAACTATTATCCTATTTAGAGATAATAAACAACTTTTTCATTCACTAGAATCTACAGCTAATGACAACTCTTGCGACTCCTGTATTTGATACCAGAAATTATACGGTATAACCAAATATACAGTATTTCGAAGTCACAAATTAATGTTAATAAACCATTTTTATTGACAGAACATCACTAAAAGAATTCTTGTTAAGAATGTTTATCAGGACTCAGAACCAGAAACTGTAATGATTTTTATGAAAATTGTACTAAAATTGAAATATTGATTGTTTTTTTTGTAATTAAGATCCGAATCGCGAATCTGTTGGGCGTCGCAGGAGTTGACGTTCCCATCAAAGAGATCGTGAAACTAACGCCCGCTTTCAAGGTTTGCATTTTTAATGGATTTATAAAATTATACTTATTTTTAACTCCATTTTCCAATAGCTTGGAGTTAATGGATATTCATTTGTCACAACAAATAATGGTTATCTCCTATATCACCCCGATCTCAGACCCATGGTATGTATAAGTTTGTACTAGTTTTTAGTTTTGCTATAATATACTGTAACTGTTTGTTTGAATGAACGGCCTATAGTTCCTGGATATGCTAAAGCCTTTCTATAGGTAATTAAACATTATTTAATTATTTATTAAATTCAAACATAATTTACTAACAAAACAAATGATATGATATTATATTCTTATTAAACCTATAGTTCTGTTGATATCTCTGAAGTGGAACTGGCGGACAATGTGTTGGGTCCCCGAGTAAGTGATTGTTCTATGGGTTAAGTACTGTATTGCGGTTCTAAAGTGAATGTATTATCAGCTAATGGATGAGAATATCAATGAAATTCGTGGAAATATGATTAACAGAACAGTTGGCTGGAAGAAAATTAAGGTCAAAGTGCATATGGATTCAATGGTCAGGCAATTATTGATGACTCGAATAATGATTTATAATATTATATTTCGATACTGTTATAGAAAAGAGCCGTAACGCGAGTTAATCATTATATTTACGGCAAAATCGATTTCACACCTTTCAGTTTGGCTATTGTTTTGCCCGAACCCTACGGCTCTTATAGAGTTGAGGGTCAGATCGAAGTGAAAGTGAGACGAGAAGAGAACTTTACTCACTATTTCCGGGGTAACAATTGGAGGGTTCATCCCGAATGGGTCAGTAGTTTGCTATACTATGGTTGACAATATGTTTTAACCGTTTGCTGTCACTTCAGGTGTACTGCGATTCTCCAAATAAAATATCTGCTATTTTGCCCAAATCTCCAGAAGAAGCTATCACTCAGTTTCTTAAGACTGTACTCAACGGACAGAATTTCCGGTGGAAGACCAGTAGTACAAGACCTCAAGTCTATGAAACCATTTCATGTATACATTTCTGTTTTGTTTAGTTTGTTTCATTGGAACTCATTTGAAAACTTTTAATTTATGAATAATAGGCGATAAATATTTGACACAAAGTTTAGTGTTTGACGCAAAGGCCACAGATATTGACACATCCAAGTGCGGGACAATTCCCAATATGAACTCCAAAATAGAGTAAGTAATTAATTATACGTTCAAAACTTTGAGAATCAGGAATTGTTATAATTCTAATTTAATAATGTCAATAATATAGGCTTAATACATAATAATACTAGGAAAATTACAATTAATAATGATCCAATCATTGAATATTCACGAATTTAAAATATATATCTTAAACATTCTAATGGTTGTACATGGTATTATTTAGGCAAAAATCTATTTAAATACAGGAATTCTTAATTGCTTGATAGTTGATAAGGTATTTATTTTTATTATATAATACGGTACTAAGATAGTAAGTTTATGCTAATACAGTATTTAGTAAATTGGTAAGTGCTGTCTGAATGCTTAATTGGTGGATATTTTTCGGACAACTGTTTGTAATTGTAAGCAACAAAATGTAAACTATAATATGTTATGTAAACATAATTGGAGTGATTAGAGAAATCCTGTCTAATTGGGTGTTAATTTAATAAAAGATTTATAATTGATAAATAATAAACCATTTTGACGGTTATGTTTAGCCCTCTGGCACTTCTACTGGCACTGTATCCCAGGTAATGATGACTTTTGCCGTGATTGCAAAAGTAGAGGTCGAGCTGTTCTCAATGAGGACAATAACAGTGGTGGCGATCGGGCACTTAGGTTGTCTGTGCTCCCTGTGCTCCCTCACTAACTTGTAAGGCATATGCCATGCAGTAGAGCAGAGAGCAATTGCCGGCTCATGTATATTGAGCTCTTGTTTTCAAATGATTTGATGCACTTAACGGATCTTAAATTAGGTTAAAATATGATCATTAATTGAATTATTTGTAAAATAGAGATCAAAAGCTGAAAATGTTTGGAATTGTGACCACATTTGTGGCCACTCGTAGTGGACTCACGCGTTTCGAAGACCATAGAACTGATGCTGAAAAACAAAACACATCTTCTGAAAGACCCTTCTTTGACACTCACACGAAGTATTATCTTATTTGTGAACCATTTGTCATGTGTTGGTATTAAATCTAATTATAACGACATTCAGAGCCACTGAAGAGCTATATTACCGAAGAGCTGTTGACTTCCATGCAGTCAATGATTCGGCGTTTGTATTCTCCGTCCCATTCGACGCTAACCAACGCGAGGGACAGTTATTAGTGACTGGAAGTCACGCTATATTCTTAGGCACCGGCAAATCTAGCGCTCCGGGTATTGATTTGTTGACTAGAAATTGTCGATCAATGCTAACAAATATGTTTGCTTTTAGTGGCTGTGGTTGGCCTTCAGATTAAACACTCGGTATTTGTCGAGCGTTTCATTAATATAACGAACAAATACTCGAAAGTGATTTGTTCTGCAGAGGAAGTGGACTGTTATTTGTTGGACAACAACGGGTTTGTCATTTACAGCGAGGTCTTTGCCAACACCGGCAAGTTTTTTGGCGAAGTGGACAACTCGCTTATGGAGGCAATGGTCGCCAAGAATGTGTACCGAAAAGTTCATATGTTTGACTACCAGGCCATTTGTCTTAAGATAATGACCCCTCAAAGTCACGGTTCCATTCTATTGACTCCAATCAATCATTTGAAAAGTTTAATGTTTTGGATGTGGTCTCGAATTATAAGCCTTTATATAAACATTTGTTATAATTCATGGGTCGGAACCGCTCAAAGTGATTATCAGGAATATGATGATTATGGCACTGAATATGAAAGTGAGTTTATTTGCTATTTATGCGTTCCTTATTCCGCTATATTAATAACAATTTACTATTTTTAAATTAATTTAAAAGTTATTTACAACCACTAGTTAAGCCTATATTCACTAAAACATAACGACTGTAGAAATCTCTACACTTTCAAACGCTGATTAAAACCTAGGTGTTAACTTTTAAATTAATTTAAAATAGTAAAACCTTTCGTTAGCACGAGATATTAACAAAGTAAGTTCTACATGGTGCAAACAACTTATTTTAGTCAAGATTATATTTGTCCTGGATAATTATTTCATGTAGATCAGTCGTAAGAAATGAATAAATGCTAATCTTATTAGTTATTACAATACAATGTATTAATGTTTGAATTGTTGATTGAAATGTTAATTTTGTGAACATTTATAGCTGAGAGCGAGAGAAAGAACAATAAGACGCGACCCTATCCTTGCGATAAAGAGTTTGATTTGTTTGAAATGATTAGTCCTCTCACTGAAGAGCCCATCAAAGGTGATGACAACTGTGGCGGTGAAGCCAGTGGCTGCGGCCGGTATGTCGTTGTCATTGTATTATTCATTGAAATGTATGATTGAATGACTAACTGGTATGTTGATGGACAGGGAGTTTACGTTGCAATCTGTGCCCTACACTAATCTGGTTATGCTTGTGGTGCATAAGACGTGTGCCTGCGATATATCGACCATTAAGTTTGAACCCAAAGAAATAGTGTATAACACGAGTCATACCTGTTATCTCCAGAAGACGGAACTGCCTCGAAGACGGCCCACAACGTGTCACAACTATCACCCGCAGGTCTGTCCCATTCATGTCACTGTATGTTTTCATGTCAATTCTAATGATAATGATTGACAGGAAAGAGAGGTCAAACAATGCGGCAGAGGATCCAAATTATTTGTGTCACTCTTTCTTACGTTCATATCTTTGGTTAAGATTTTAATGGAAAACACGTGAAATGCATTCAACAAGTGGTGAATTAGTACTAAACACTCAACTCGTGAGTCAATGACTTATTGCCTCTACAAAAATGATTTCTATTTTTTGAAGCCTTTTTTAATGGATGTGATTCCCAATACATTTCACACCAAATTCTGACAAATTATTATTCACTTACTTATGTTATCATAAGATTAGTACTGGATATGGATTATGAAACTAACGGAAATTATGATTAAATTGTCATTTAATTAAAGCAATAAGTTTTGGTAAATATAAATTCTGACAAATTATTATTCACTTACTTATGTTATCATAAGATTAGTACTGGATATGAATTATGAAACTAACGGAAAATTATGATTAAATTGTAATTTAATTAAAGCAATAAGTTTTGGTAAATATCTCTTCAATGCCTTCGTGTGTCTCAACGACAGAACATATCATTTGATTGCTTTCATATACATCACGAGAATCATTGCCACAATGGGCTGACTATTGTTTAGTTTTTATATCATATTAGAAGTAATGATTGATTGGATATATACTAACGAACTAATGATTGTTATGTTGGATCAGATTCTGATCATCAGAACAAAGATGTACTACATTTGCATTAGTCTTCAAATGGGCTTTCGATATATAAATACATGTTTTTATTATCCTTATGTGAATACTATTGAAATCGTTGTATATATAATTGATTGCAAATTAATGTAAAAAGTTATTATTAAATATGTTTTTATTAAATAAAATAATTAATTAAAAGCTTCCGTTTTATTCTTTACATCTCATATCAAATTCATTACTCCACTAATACTTTGATTATTTTTAACCTAATGTGCAGTACTGTAGAGAATATAGTTTTCATTAGTTGTTGTAAATAATGAATTTGACATAAAAACTGTTTATTCTGTAACTATCGTATAAGCTTCAAATAATTGAATGATTACTAATTATGGTAATCAATTGTGTGGGCATTCACTGAATTTGATCACTTGTTTTTACACCTGATTTTTATCAATACATATCTATTACATTGATTAGTAAAGCGTCGACTCGTTGTACAAGTTATCAGATCTATAAAAAGTTGAATTCCTCTTTCATATCATAAGTAAGAATATTCCCTATATTTTGTTAATTATTTTGTGAACTAATTTTATCATTAAATACTCCTTAAAATGTAAGTATTCATAATGTTTATTGTATTTAAATTTATCAGTAATTTAATTTAAATAACTCAGTTTTATATTTGAGATTAGTCTTATAATTTATTATAGAGATTTTTATGGTAACATACCTAATATAGAGTATATTACATTATACAGTACTAATTATTTCATAAATATGAAATTCTAACATCAGAAATTGTCCTGGTTTTATAAATTGTAAAACGTATAAAGGTGATCTATCCAGTAAATTTAAAGCCCTGTAAAGCATAGTCTATTAATTAAATACAGTATTTCTATACATATTCTTAACATATAGTTCATTTATTTACTATAAAATTCTTATTTATCGTGTGAATCACATATCTAGTTATTATAATATTAATTCACATTTACAATTTATTAATTTTAAAGTAAATAACATAAACTTTATGTTAAGAATATTGTATGTAATTCATAGAGTATGCTTTATGGGGCTTTAAATTCACTAGATAGATCACTTTTATACGCTGTTGTGAATTAATGCATAATACTATTGATTAAAGAATTATTTTTTATAATTATTTTAATTAATTTGTTATAAATAATGTGATCAAGCAGATTAGCATTCACTATTCTTTACTGTGAACTCCGGAATTCTCTTTGTATTACAAAATCATATAAGTATAAGATTCCCTCTAAGATCACATGAGAATCTGGTGATTGATTGGTAAGATAACAATTAATTTTAATCACTGTTTATACTATAGGATGGATTACAAGAGAAATCAACTTTCAATTTTATTTGTTTGTTTGATTTCAATATCAAACTTAAAGTTTGCAACATTTTCGTGCACTCAAAATGATTGCGACATTCATTCAAATGGGGAGCAATCGATGAAAATGAAAGAAAAGTTTGTATTAATTAAAGCTTTTATTTGACGGAAGTTATAGTGAAATATATTGAAAATCACTTCAAAACTATTACAGAATTGAAAGTCAAGAGGATTTGCCATTAATTGAATTAATGCCCACAAACTCGCAAATCAAACTAATTGGACAGTTGGCTGACTTCCCATTTGAGTCACAATTGATGTCTAGCCCACAATTGAGAGTAAACCCAGAATTCGGTGGAAATTCATTGTCTTTAATGCCAGTAATGGAGAAGATGTCCAAAAATCAGAAACAAAATCTGATTCAAAGACTTCGAGACTTTAAGCGAACGGAAGGCAACAGAAACTTTCAAACACAGGGCTGGTAGTGATGGTCCACTCGTTCACTATATCTAACTTATGCGCCAAACAATTGTTTTAATAAATATGAAAATATTCACTTTGTTCAAAAAATAATTATTTAATAATTAATTAATAATAATTAAAATTATATGGTTTTATAAATCATTAAAGTCATGTGATTTAAAGCAAATAATATATTTTTTAAGTAATCAATTGTTTGTCGAATTATAAATGTAAGTGGATACTTATTAATTTGACAAGTCTGTATATTCTGTGCAATATACAGTATAATTGAACAAGCTACAATTTACTATTACTGCAGTGATTCTATTGCAATAGATAATTCTATGATAATCATACAATCTATTGTATAGAGTTATAAAGATATACGATTGACTATCTTGATTACAGAAATTGCCCTGTATGATTTACAAATATAATATTATATATGGTAGACTAGTAGTATAACTTTTTAGTAAAAATTATAAGTTGTTATTGTACAGTATAGAATAAATTTAAAATGAAGTAATAACTGCTTTTCCAAGTTCATCTAATTTAGTTGATTCAATCATTTTAAAGATTGAGTTAACATAACATATGACTAAAATAGCAACAAATACCAATACAAATTACAATTTGGACTTTTATTTGACAAAAGTATCAATAATATCTGAATCACCATGAATTATTTGCAAATCTAAACCTCAAGACTTTAAATTCAAAATTGTTTGATTATATACTGCACTGCAGTGTAAGACTTGTTTCAATGATTCAATTCGCAAATGCAATGCAATTTGATTTCAACACTTTTGGGACTAATAGAAGACATCATTAATGGATGTATTGTTTGAATGAATGATAGGCTCAAGACATGACTGTCACTGAGTTTGTCATCATTTAAGACATTTTGCCATTAATTGGCTCTAAATCACAGCAATTATCACTCATTTGTTATTTGTGTGCATTTCACATCTCATTGGAGACCCACTGCGAGTGATAGTGAAGAATGTCAGCCATGAATGCGATGGCAATGCAGTCATCGGTGGTGCCGATGAATGGGTTCCAGTCGTCGCCAACGGTTCCGTTGAGTCGACTCATCGAGTTTGCCATTCAGAGGACTTACCACGAGTTGAGTGTTTTGGCGGATCTGTTGCCACGAAAGACAGATATGGAGCGCAAGATAGAGATCGTGTCGTTCGCGAGTCGGACGCGACAACTGTTTGTCCGGATGTTAGCTTTGGTCAAATGGGCCGGAAGTGCCTCCAAAGTGGACAAATGCGCCACAATTGTCCAGTTCCTCGACAGACAGTCGGATCTGTTCGTCGAGACGGCAGACATATTGGCGAAGATGTCGAGAGAGACGTTAGTGTCGGCCCGACTGCCGAGCTTTCAGTTGCCGTCAGCCGTCGAAGTGATGACTTTAGGCACGTATTCACGGCTCCCGACTGTCATCCGCGACCGCATCGTACCTCCCGATCCCATCACTGCCACCGACCGAAAGGCAACACTCCTTCGACTCAATCATATAATACAACAACGATTGGTCACAACAGCCCTCCCCTCGCAGATGAAGCACTTGAAGGTCGAGTCCGGACGCGTTGTCTTTGAGGTGGAGCACGAGTTTGAACTCTCGCTGACACTCATGGGAGACATACCGTCCCTCCCGTGGAGAGTATTGAATGTGAAGATTCTGGTTGAGGACAAAGAGACGGGTAGTGGCAAAGATCTGGTCCATCCCTTGCAGATCATGTTTTTGCAACATTTGGTTCAATCGAGACTTACAGACAACTCGAGGCCATTGATTGATGCCTACAATACTCTGCACTCGTTTTGCTTAAGTCTTCAGTTGGAAGTACTCCAGACTCAAGCCATCCGCTTATGCCACGAAAGGTTAGACGACTTCATTCATATCGTTGAATACTCGCCGGGAAACCGATTAATGCTATCGTATTGGAGAGAATGCCATCGCGAAGACAAAGGCTTCAAACTGTGTGTCCAAATAGATTCAGCCCAACCCTCACGTCCTCTTCAAGTGATTCATTTGCCAGAACTCGAGTCCAAAGACGCTCTCCAGACATACGAAGCCATAAAATCAGACTATTTTTCGATCGAAAAAATTTTGATTCAAACCACTTATGAAAGAGCGAAACAACGACTCATTAGTTTGAAGAAAGAGTTGGACGACAAGAGTGTCGGACATTCACTGCTATCCGGCTCTCCGTCTGTACTTCACGTGTCTTTCCTTCAGCCGTGTATGACATCCGAGCGGCTGTTGATATCAGTGGATACACTGACGGGTAGTTTTCTGGTACACATCCCTCAGTTCGAGGACTGTTCTCTTGTCGATGAAATACAGAACGTTATCAACAAAAGTGTAGCAAAAGTTGTGCCCCTTTTCCGACAGTTAAGGATTTGGATGACATGTCAGAGGTGTCGGAAGACCGTTGAATCACTGCCAGTGCATGTCGTGGAAAGCCTTCCATTTCCCACATCATATTCTCACCCATTTATGGACTTAAAGTCACCGAAACTTTATTATCGATTTGGTAAACATTATAATAACTGTTTGGTTACTGTTTTCGGTGAAAAGGAATCTACAAATGAAATAGAAATCGATTACTATTTGCTGTATGTCTCACAAACATCTGCCACTACTGTTGAGTCGAGCACTCAGTTTGATGTGGAGCTACCGAAGCCTTATCTGCAAATAACGAAAGCCTTAAAACTAGACATTTGCAACATTTTGAGACAATCGTTCTCTTCGGAAGACATTTGTGATAAAAACGGCAAACGGAAGATGTGTTTAAGCAATACTAATGAGTCCAACAAAATACCGCGCAATGGGACCACTGGCTACTACATCCCTGAGTTGGCACATGTAGTCAGCTTTTGTGAGGAGAAGTTAGCCTACAGTTCGCTCTCAAGTGAACTACAGAAGCGGTCCATATGTCATCAGGTGCTACAAGACTCTGACGGTTACACACATTTCATAGATATCGTCAAGTTTTCGCAGTGTTTCTCACAATCAAACGGTGAGTCCTATTGCGACAAACTTCAGGCCGACACTCTTAGCTCGACGATTAGACTTCAGGGAAAGGGATCTAAGATATGGAACGTTGTGCTCGCCTTCTGTAATCCCCCGCTTCAGAGTCTTGCGGCCAAAGAGCACGGCTCACGACGTCTGCTAAGCCTTCCCTACGATTATGCGAGTGGTTCACAGACTCTCATCAGCAAAATGGTCGATGAATTACTCAGTGACTGGTCAGCCATTGCTAGACTATATGAAGTGATCAAAAATTTTGCCGCAGATCTCCAGTATAATAACCAATTGACTGCTTTGCTTGACATCAAATCGTTTACTTATAAGAAGATTATTATAGGCTATGGAAACAATAAGACATTCATTGTAATCACTTTCTATTCAATTCAATTTATTGCTGTTTATTCGTATATTGAAATAACAATTTGTATGTGATTTTAGGTATCAATATATTGGAAATCAAGTGAAAAGAGATTCCAACTGTGCTTTGGATGTGTTGGTCAGGCGTTGTCTGATTCTAACCCACATGTCCTCATTTGCTCTCAACTTCAATATGAGTTCAATCAACACTTTTCCATTGTTCAGTTGATTCAAGTATTGAATTATACTTTGAATCCATTGCTAACAATTCAATGTTTGAGTGGAATTCCATTGCTTGGAGTCGTTAACAGTAGGCCTCAACTACCGGTTCAGGCATTTTGTGTTATTCCTCAGTCTTCGACACACATTCGTATTATATACAGAAATACGTGAGAATTCTTTGCGTATTTTATTTGATATTTGTTTTAATTAATTATTGATTTGCAGGTATTGTTTGGATGTTATCATATACTCAGACAACACAATAGCCATACGTGACGGCGCTTTCAGTCTTTTCGAAAAAACCAAAGTTATGGAAGAGTTGACACCAATTCAGGGATTAAAGGTTTCAAATGTTTATTGAGTTTATGCCATGAATTTCATTATAATTGTATTAATTTTAGGCATTTTTGGGTAAATTTGTTGATAAGACGACACAAATGAGACGATTATCTCAGACCGAAGACGACAACCCGCCCTCTCCTATGCCTCAAATAGAATCCGTCGAATCCTATCTGTACTCAACTTCTCAGATGAAGACGTCGTCGCCATCTAAAGGTGTCAACGATGGCAACACTTCCATGGCTTCCAATCGATCCATAGCGCATCAAATGCCGTCATCGGCTCAGGGATCTAACCCTCACACGCCTACTTCACCCCACCCTACTTCAGTGCTATCGCAATCTGGATTCACCTCATCTCCCGGTGCTTTTCCATTGGCTTCTCCACCCTCTCACAGTATGTCCGGACACGGAGTGAGCTCTTCATCCAATCAAGTGGTCCCTTCGCCCTCAATGCCTGTTCCCGATCAGTCACCGGCTAATATATTCGGTGTCAACTCGCCTATGAACCCATTGCACGCGCCCTCCCCTTCATTCCTGCCAACGCCCTCCCCTTCCAATCAGTTCCACTCTCAGTCACCCGCCTCTCAATTCCTTCCGAGTAATGCCTCACAAACAGCGATAGACAACTCCATCGGATCTCCATTTACGGCACCAAATATGCCGGCGTCTAATCTCTCGATGCCATCGCCAGCACCTAATGCATGGCCGGGCAGTCCCTCACTTCCTCGTCCCTCTCCCCGTTCGATCGGTCCCTCACAAAGTCCGGGCATAAGTCAGGCCCACCTCTTGTCTAATATTAATAGTCCGCAGACTATGTCCGGTCCTCCACACCACTCGGCAAATATGCTTCAAAACACAGCTAACCCTCAAATGGTTTCAACCCGAATGTTGCCTCAGAGGGCGTGGGCCGCAGCCATCCCTACTCTCCTCACACACCAGGGCTTCGATATAATGTGCAGATCTAACCAAAACCTCGACAATATACCCATTCCTCCCAATAATAACAGCGTTTACTATGCGTTGTCACAACTCGAGAGGTTTCTCGGATGCGTTTACATGAGACGTAACCTTCAAAAAGCTGTCTCTCAAGACAACAATGTATGTATCAATCTATGGACTACTGTACGATATATCACTTGGTTTAACCACTTATCCATTTCACCCTTAGTTCCACATTGCACAGACATTTGAGTTCGGAGTGATTCAGTTTAAAAACGATTCCATGCAATTCAAAATCAGTTTAGACATCGCTTCCATGCAGGTAGTGGTCAACGTTTGTATCCATTTATACGGTTGTATTCATTTGACGTCTTATACCCAAACACCGACAGTCGCTGCACATAAAGATCGCACCGTTGCCTGAATTCAGTCACTGGGCCCGAGAAGAACTCGAAATATTGCAACAGTTTTTCGAGACTAAAGTAATTGAATTATAATTTAAATCATAACTTAATCGTATGTTTCCTATGGACAGGTTGTTTGCGCACCATTTAAACCAAACGCATTTCTGGCGTACAATCGCATCCTTAACGCTCCCATGAAAATACTGAAGGATTGCATTCAGTTAATGCGATTGGAAATGGTATGAAATGAATGAAAGCTTATTCATGAATTGCATTCAATAATAAGGGTAATCTGTCTTTTTATGAACAGTTTCCCGACAGAACACTCAAGTGGTCGTTACAATGGTGTCTCACTATCCCTCCGGCGGCCCCTTCTATTGGTCCGCCGGGAATGTCAGCCTGTCTTATGTTCAAAAACAAAATGCTTATATTTGTTAGTTTTCAATCACGAATAACCATTCGTTACATTCATTTATCGAATATTTCATTCATAGATACAATTCACTCGAATGCAAATACCCGGCCATCCAATCAATGCCGAACCCCTGTCTATAATCGTTCCCTTTATTTACGACATGAGTACCCATAACATACAAGTGGCCGGTTTTGGACGTGAAAACACTTATTCTCAATCACCGGCGCTCACTGTCATCAACAATATGTTGAAACGATTTGCAGAATACACGGCAACCGGTATTAACACTATAAACAAACTCTAATCAATAGTTCACTAATAATTATGTCTATATTAAAGGTACCGATTGTCCCATATATCTGGCTATTCGTGAGATTATGAACAATCTTCAGATTCCGTAGCCGTTTCCCATTGCATCCAATTGTTTCAATGAATTAATTTTAATTGATTTGTACTATAATTCTGTTCATTGTTTCGATTAATTATTTAACTTATTTTTCTGATAAATAGAGAGAATTGTCTGTATTTAGTATATACTGTACTGTAATTGAATAAAAATGAAATATTATAATTTAAATATGCATTTCAAGTGAGCGTATAATTATTGAATGGATTAGGAAGTGAATGAATGGCCGGAGTATTAATATGAGCCCAAAGGGCCGGCAATACAGTTACTGAACAGCACTGACTTGACTGCCGGTCATTGAACTCATAATGCGTTTATAATACAGTGATTGACTGGATTAACACCAACTCTATGCCTACACCTATGCCTATACAGTAATTGCCATCATTTGTATCATAGTTAACATGATATGCACTAAATTAGACATAAAATGAGATACAAATGATTGAATAATGATTAAGATAAGAGACAATTGAAAAGTCAATTTGAGATATATATGAGCGAAATGTATTGAACTTGAAATGGGATTTAATGTCAAGTTTTTTCATAACCAGTAAAACTACGAATGAATGTGCAGTACAAGAGAGTTGGTGTGAATTGTATGCATTGAATGGATTGTACACTAATGTAGTGAACATTAGTGGAGATATTGTACATAAATATAGTGTTTTGAATACAATGTTTGAACAGTCAGTGAGTGACGAGAAAGTGAGCAAAAAGTATAGTATTATGTAACGATTGTAATGATTATTGAGTGTAATATCAATTGTAATGAAAAGTTGATTTCATTTGTGAACTCAATTCAAATGAAATTGTTTTACAATTAATGAATGCATCCATAAATGAATGAGTGATTGGTTTTAGCTTTTTGTCAACATTTGAGTTATTTGTTTGTCATTTAATTGTGATATTTGTTATACAATTGATCCCAACATTTGAGTTATTATTGTATTTAATATAAAATATATTCATATTATTATTCAATACATTATATCTTATGACTGACTATGGCTTACAATGAGGTATACATTGCTTAAGACATTGAATGCATGTTGTCGTGCATTGACTCAATCCATTGAATCCATTGAATCCATTATTGAATCCATTGAATCCATGGCAGAGAGTGGATCCCGAACTCATATTCACCAAACAGGAGCGCATAGGAAAGGGATCTTTCGGTGAAGTGTTTAAAGGGGTCGACAATCGCACACAACAAGTGGTGGCCATTAAGATCATAGACCTCGAGGAGGCCGAGGATGAGATCGAAGACATCCAGCAGGAGATAATGGTTTTGTCGCAATGCGACAGTCTTTTCGTCACCAAATACTTCGGATCTTATCTTAAGGTATGCTTTGTTGACATTTGGCACTAATCCGATGCCAACACTTGTTTAAATGTCTTGAGATGAGTCTCGAGACCTCATATCATATTTGATGACTAGTGTTGAGTTAATACTGAATGGTTTAAAGGGAACCAAATTATGGATAATAATGGAGTATTTGGGCGGAGGTTCGGCTCTGGATCTGATGAAAGCGGGACACTTCGAGGAGATGCACATTGCGGTCATACTTCG